TCTAACATTGCATGGCAATGCTTACTCTCACCTTAAAAACAAAATGAACGTATTGTTTGCGTTTGTTCGTTAGATGTTTAGATGTAATATTACATTCATTCACTCACAAACACCGCACACACACACACAAACTCCACGCACACACCACACACACACACACACTGGTGCACCACGCAACACTGCACCACACGCACGCACACAATCAATTATTTACAACAATCAAAATAATGACAATAATTATAATGATGATGTTAGCTGGGACCACCACGGCGCATGAAAATGCTTTCCAGTCTGTCTCAAGATGGGAGGCAGAAATATTGCATTACCTCATTTAATTAATTCCTTCCTTGTTATGGATGATGGCAATTCAGTTGCTCACTACCCGCACGATGTTGCTCTGTATTTTCTGCAAGTTCCACTTGGGCTGATTGAGATGAACGCAGCATGTATCAATGTGCATCAATGCACACACGCATGCACAAAAATGCGTTATAATCGCAATGCTTATGAATTAAGTTTGTATTAAAATTTGTTTGCGTGTATGATTTTTTGTTTGGTACGTTAATGTTTTTATGTGATTATTTTGGGTAACACGAAAAATCTATATATGCTTATTGGCCCACATATAAAATTATTTATACGCAGATTTGTACGCGTATCTGGTTGCGCGTACGTGCCTACCAATGAAACCACGCAATAAATATTTAATAAATAAAGCACAGCGGCCCGAGTAGTAAAAGGTATCAACCAACTAGTTTATGGGGTCTTCTACGTAACAATATTTACGTCTGCGCACATCTCTGTTTATATTTGTATCTCGCCGTACACATGTGAATAAATTTTGTGCACTGCGGTGTACACAACAGATGTATATAAATAATGTGCACGTGTGCACGTGTGTGTGTCTGTGTGTGTGTGTGTGTGCGTCGAACGAACAAGGAACAGTCGTTGAATTAAAAATGGCAAACAATGTTTTCATCGCTAGGCGCCATCGTTTTATGCGCTAAGTCTGTGTTGTTGTTTGTTGTAATAAAGAAGGCGATGACGATGACGACGATGATAATGTTGTTGCTGTTGTTGTTGTTGGTAGTGGTGATGATGAGGATGATGTTGTTGTTGCTGATGAGGATGATGATGAGGAGGATGTTGTTGTTTTTGTTGTTGAGGATGGTGATGATAATGGTAGTGATGAAAATGATAACTAATTCGGCAGTCAGCAACAATGTTGTTCGACGATTCAGATAATTTTTTCCTAATGTTTTATTGCATTGTAGTGAAAGAGAATGCAAAAAAAGATGACGAAATGATAAGAATGATGATGATGAATGATGTCAAGAAGATTCTTGAATGGCTACATGGATGATGATCTTTGTAACAAGAACCGTAAGGACGATGACAATAATGATGACGACGATGACGACGATGACGACGATGATGGTGCTTTATTCATCATGATTATTATTATCATCGCCATAGCGAAGTTATGATGAACACGCACTATCTTGCTTTATTTGTGATGAAATAAGTGATGAAATCCTAAACACTCCTGTTGTAAGAAAAGCATTGAAGGGTTTTAAATAAAGTACATATTAACAACGCCCCTATTCAATAGCATGCAAACATTGCAAATTTAGGCTCAGACCTTAGAAGAATTAAAATTCATTCCTCTTAAGGCTGTTCGATCGATGACATACTTTTTAAGTTTGAAGAAGTTTTAAGAATTTTGTGAGGAAATTTATGTAGTACTTTTTATGATATTAAATTGAAAATTTTTCATATCGTGTTTTCAATTTATGAATATAAACTTAGCTACCACTAATTTTGCAGTTTGAAATATTTCCACTTCCTTTTTATGCATCAAGATGATGAAATAAAAAAAAATAAATATGATGAATCAAATAAATAATATATATTTGCAGTAGTAGATCAGCTTGACAACTCGCATTATATGCATAAATGATTTGTTTTCAATTGATAGTAATCAACGTTCGTTTGCCTATTGATGTTGGTTGGGTGTCTCCAAAATATCTACTGCGTGTGCGTGTGTGCGTGCGTGTGTGTGTATGTGTGTATGTACGTACGTACATACGAATGTATGTATGAATGAACCCGTTTTGATGAACAAGCCATGGTTAGGCATGTATGTATGTATATGTGTGTATGTGCATGTACGTGCAAGTGTATGTATGTGTGTTTGTGGTGTAATATGTTTGCCACAGGTTTTTAATAAACGTTTGTTCTGTTTTGTATAAATAATATAGACACGTGTGTTTGCAAAGGCCAAATAAGCTTGCGTGTGTAGCACTAACATGTATTTATCATCCTGTATATCCGATATATAAATGTATGCATGTATGATACAGATGTATCAATATGTATCTACCCATGCAGGCAGTTTATTGACTTATTTTTACAATACTAAGTCACATGTTTCATTGAGTTACTAAACGATTTGCTAAACATTCGCTTTCAAAATATAAAATCATCATTGTTGTTGCTTTATAACAATAATTGATATTGATGTAATAATTATTAATTATTACCATAATTACACCAATTGTATTAATTAAAAAATATATTGCTCTTAGTAGGGTTGATTTTGATGGACATGTGTTTGCCTGTTAAAATACTCTTCAAATAGTTATAAATGTTGTTAATAGTATTTTACCACTTTGTCTACAAAAATTTTATTATTTTATTACCTTTTTATTGATGATGATACTAATAATAATTATTATTATTACAGATATTATTATTATTATTACATTTAGAAGTTGATATATTGTTCATATTGTTATTGCGAATTTTATTGCTATTGTGTTACAAGAATGTTGCTGATATTTTGATATTGTGTTATATTGGCGTCAGCATTGCTTGTTTGTGTGTGTGTGTGTGTATGTGTGTGTGTGCGTGTACGTGTGCGTGTGTACTATGTCTGGTAAGCTTTCTTATCTGACTTTGCAATCTTCAAAATTTCAGCCAATGATTGATAAAGAGATAGATAGGATAGATGCATATTCATTCACGTCAAATTTTTATAACAATAATGATAATGGTAATAATAAATTTAATAACTATAAAAATAAATTATATTGTGTTTATTTTTTGTTATTTATCTATAAATTAATATATTGATAATATTGTTAAAATTAATATATAATTAATAAATTAATATATTAATATTGTTAAAATCAATATGCCATCATTAAGTTAACCTTAAATCTTTATTCAATTGATTGAACAACGCAAGCAATGATGAAGATAAGATGGTGATGATGATGAAGAAGATGATGATGATAAAGATGTCAAGATGTCGATGATGATAAAGACGTCAAGATGACGATGATGACAAAGACGTCAAGATGACGATGATGATAAAGATGAGCGAATGAAGTGATGATGGCGGATTCGTTGATTCGATTCGATGGTTGTGTATTAAATGTAATGTGATGTAATATAATTGTAATGTAATTTATGACGTCAGTGAATATCGTCCCGCCTCAAACATGTCACCGGGACTATTTGTAAATAATAAAAGTTTCATTTGTTTTAATAATAATAATATAATATTATTATTGCTATAAATAGTTATAATAATAATAGTTATATGAATACGTCTGTGTGCCTCTGCTTATTTGCACAATTACTCTATAAACGGTTGTCTTTAAGTGAATGTATCACTGAATGAATGAATTAATTAATTAATTGAATAATTAATTAATTGAATAATTAATGAATTAATGAATGAATGTGTTATAAAAAACGAATGAAGAAAGAATTCTACACAGAATCTAATAAGTAACTTAACTAATTGGATAATCTTTAATGAAGTTATTCACTCCTCTATGCCTGCCTATCTTGCATGCTGTTAAACGAACGTAAGCAAATAAATGCAGGGCACAAACCCACAAAATTGAAAGTGCATCAAACATACATAAACACGCGACAATCGACACATATATATACATACATACGCATACATGCACGCACACATACATAGGTACGTTTATACACACATGCGTTGGTGCATGCATGCATCAATACATGCATCAATGCATTCATACAGAAATGAATGCGTCTAAACGGTCTTAATTGTACATGAAAAAAGAAACCCAATCTATGATTGTGAGGCGACCGTGAGTCTGTCTGTGGGTCTGTCTGTTTGTCTGTCTGTCTGTCTGTCCCTGTACTCTGTGTATGTTCTGCCTGCTGATGGCGTCTATCAAAATATCGATGTTGTTGTGCTCTGTTGTTGTGTATGCACGTGTGGTCTGTTTTGTGTTGTTGTGTGTGTGTTTTAGCCTGTGTTGTGTTATCAACGCTCGTTGTTCTTGTGTCCTTTTGTTGTTTTCTGTATTGTTTCGCGTGTTATAATGTTGTCTGTGCTGTTTTGTATGTGATAATATTGTTGTATGTGTTGTTGTTGTTGTAAATGTTACGCTCCCTTGGTTTTTGTAAGTGCTTGTTACTAACTATGTGTTTGTCAACAAGCGTATCAGTGCGTTTAATTTTGTAGAGAGAGAGAGAGTTGATTTGTTTGTGTGTATGTTTGTTTGTGTGTTTGTTTGTTTGTTTGTTCATCTATTGAGACGCGAATTCCAACGTCATATCATGTTTCTCGTATTATGATGGGATAATGTGTTTCTGCTAGGTGGTCCCTACAACAACAACCACAACAACAACCACAACAACAAAAACCACATTAACAACAACAAAAACAAAAATAACTGCAACAGCAATCACAACAACAACACAACAATAACTACAACAACATTAACAACAACAACACAACAACGTGAAAATAGTTATCGTTAAACGATAACTATTTTCACGTGCCAACAATTTATATAATTGCATCATATATTCTAGTCATTACACGTGCACTGTTCTACATGAATCCAATCGAGAATAAATAAAAGATAACAATTTTCTTCATATAAAAAAAACCGTTTGTGTATATTTTATTTGTGTGCTTGTTGTGTGCGTGAGTGTGTGTTTATATGTGCGTATCTATATGTGAGTGTGTCTGTGTGTACGTGCTTATCAACGTGGGTTAGAAATATACATATCATTGTAATTCATCGGTGTACATGCATAAGTGTGTTTACGTTTCGTCTAGGTACCGTCTGCTCGGATGGCATTGTATTTTACTTTCATCAATCGCAGTATTTTACATTCAAACCTTCGCCCTGATACATTCACACAGACGTCGAAATTCACCTTTGCAAAGAAAAATTGTGTGTACGTGTGTCTGTTTGTGTCTGTGTGTGTTTGTGTGCGTGCGTTTATATGTGTGTGTTTGTGTCTGTGTGTGTGTTTGTTTTGATGTAGGTCTTTCTATGTAGGTGAACACGTGTTCGTATACACGTGTGTTATTTCAAGGTATTATTATTTGAGTTCGAGTGTGTTTTTTTGCATATACTTGTCTGTATATGTATGTTTGCTTGTTTGTTGTGTCTGTATGTTTGTTTGTTTTTTGTGTCTGTGTATGTGCTTGCTTGCTAATATGTGAATCTTTTTTGCGTGTTCATGAGTTTGAATTTGTTATTGCATGTGTGTGTTTATCTCTCTATTGATGTGTGTGTGTCTTTTTCTATGTCTGTGTACATGTTTCTCTCTCTCTTCTTCTCTTTCTCTATCTCTCTTTCTCTGTGTGCGTGTGTGTGCGTGCGTGTTTGCACTTAACCATTCTAATTTTTTCTTTTTTAATGTTCTTTCTGATCGCATTGATAAATTCCTTCCCACTTATATGTTTTATTCTGATTATTCTGATTAACAATAGTAACAATAACAAAAAACAACAACAATATTTATTATTGTTTTGTTATTAGTAAATATTATTAATATTATTATTATATTTTATACAATTAATATATTATGGAAGCGATCTACTCACTAAATTTAGTAGCAGTTTTTGAGTTTGGTCAACTGCTTTTTATACCGAGAAGATGATAATGCTAATAATGAGGCATGTAAATTATGGTGATTATAATTATTTATGCACTCCCTCGCTCACTCACTCACTCACTCACTCACTCGCACGCACATACTTTCTAGTAATATTATTACAAAACTGTTAATTACACACATCGTCCCAATTCACAACAGATGACGAAAGCCTGGTCTGCTACTGCACAGAAGCCAGATGCGTGCAGACGAACTACATGTGCAAGGTCAAGGCTTCTCACTCTTTTTCCTCCTCCTCCTCCTCCTCCTCCTCCTCCTCATCATCATCCTGCTACTCTATCATCAAACTACACCCAACCTTACATCAGGTGAACAGTGTGGTCCATGGCTGCAGTGGTGGTGGTGGTGGTAGTATTAGTAGTAGTGGTGGTAGCAGCAGTGACAAGGGTGGTAAAAAAGTTTCGCTTCAAAACGATTTGTCGGATGTGGACCTAAACAATGACATTTGTTATGGCTTTAATGACGACGATGATGATGACGACGACGACGATGATGATAGTGATGTTGTTGGTGATTATAATGGTTTTGATAATGATGGTGGTGATGATTACGGTGATGATAGTGATGAAGAAAGTGATGTTGAATCTCGCGCTGCTGCTGATGATGATGAATATGCTGGCAGGAAAATAGAACGTCAGCCAAAAATAAATAATATCGACTTGAAAAACAAAAACATTGTGAACAACAACAACAACAACGACGACAACAACAACCTCAACAACAACAACGACAACAGCAGCAACAACAACAACAATCCAACCCGCGACCACATTAAAAACATCACAATTTTTAATAATGACATCCCCAGCAGGCAATATCGCCATCACGTCGGCAGTAGAAAGAACAAACCAAACTATAAGACAGACAAAAAAGTGAAAAAGACAAGAAAAACAATTAGTCCCGCCAATAATTCAAAATGGCGTCGCAGGTCCGGAAATAGTGACGTCAGAGTGTATGTGTCTTGCTGCCGGTCTGACTTGTGCAACTACATGAAAAATAAGATTACTGTAGACATCAGTGAAGATGATGAAGATGAGGATGTTGGAGAAAATGAGAACGAAGACTATGCTGGAAATGATGATGGAAAAGATGATGACACTAAAACAAACAACATCGTCGTTCAAATAGATGAATCCAGTTACTCAGATGATGGCGACGGTCTTGTTAATGTTCACAATAGTCTTCGCAAGAATTGGAATAAATTAAACGGAGGTATGTAGAAATTCACGCAATTTCAAACATTTTTACAAAGTTGTTGGCTCACAAACAAACAAATGTATGCTTGTTAACTGTGTGTGAAATGGTGTATGAATGAAAAGCAGGCAGTTGTACATTTAGATCATCATCACAGTTCCATTCGCAGATGAGTTACATTCACCACAAAATATGCACTCAAACGTTTTGCGTTTTTCATACATTTACCTATATAGAAAATAAACGATTGAAAAATTTATGCCCTTAAATAACATTGATGTTGGGCATATGCAAAAATACACAAAACACGCACATACCCGTACGTATATAAACATATGTGCTTATATAACTACATACAACACATGAAAGCATAAATACAAACAGATGTACAAACATACACGCACACACACACCACACACACACAAACAAACAGACAAACAGACAAACAAACAGACAGACAAACAAACAACACAAACGAAAACATACATCAAGTTGAGAGAGAGTGCTCGTTGGCGCCCTTTGTTGAAACATGACGAGCCAATGCACATATCATATGCATATTTTTATTCATATGTTTGTATATGTGTAGGTATATGTGTATGTATATTGTATGTATATCCGTGCGTGTGTTTGTGTGTTTACACAGACATATCTTAAGGCATATAAACATTAATACTGTATTATTTTAATTAATGAAATGAAGAGAATTATTTATTTACCTTTCAAAAAATTGAGAAATATTTAATAAGATAGCAAGCAAGACGTCTGCCTAACTAGTTCCTCACAATGGATCCGTGATAATAAGAATAACAATAGGGAATTTTTTAATATTAATAAAATAATAATACAAATAATAATAATACAAATAATAGACAGGCAGGATTATTTAATAAATAAAATAATAATGAAGAGTAGGTCCCATACAAACTGTGTGGCGTCCGGCTGGCTTGGCATGCCAATGAAAAATTTTTGCTATAGACGTGTCGGGGGCGAGGAACCAGAAGTTGATCGAGAAATAAATTAATGAAAAAAATAACGTCTAGATTTAATTATTTAAAAATATGGATATTAATCAATTATATTTCACTCGTGCAACTATATAGCTATAACATCCCGTCACTAACTTTTAAAGTTGCTTGCTTGATTTTTGAACAACCTTGTGAACCATCATTGTAGAGAGATCGCTAAGAGATGTAATTAATTTATCGAGAGCATTAATTTACCGATGTAACTAATCTATTATTGATGTGATTTATTTATCTTTAAAATGAGAATTTTTTTTGTATTGTTGTACTCACAGTGGTTGATTTATTGCAATCTCTAATTGCTGCTTGCTTTGTACTTTTTAATGAAAAATCTACATTTCGTTCGTTTATAGTGTATACATTATAGCACTGTATTTGTTGTGTAAGTATAAGTGTATTTAATTTTATGTATATAAATATATAAAAGTGTGTGTGTGTGTGTGTGTGATGTGCGTGTATGCTTTGAAAAAACAAAAAACAATCCTTTTTCCGAAGACTGTTGATTTATGACGTAGGAGTTTATCATCGCACAACATTAAATCAGTGTGACACACAATGGCATTTGTACCACATGTACCGTGGTATCATTTTAATTTTTAAAAGGTATTAGAGAAACGAGAAGATAATTCAAACAAATGAAATCAATGTATGGAGACAAACTACTGAAAATGGTTGGTTGGTTGGTTGTGTCACTAATTTAATTCGAATGTCCTTGGCTGAACGTGATGAGTACATAATGACGAACATAACAACAACACACGTTTAGACGACATTTTCCCCGAGATCGGGGGTTGCCGTTTGGCTACCTATGATGAAACCGAAATACCCCTCGACGCCATCCACATCTGTCACTCGCCTCAGTATCACGCAACCCCGCTTTCACCCTGTCCTTCTCCACCTGCTCTCTCCATCCCAATCGCGGACGACCCCTTCCTACCACTCATTCAACCTCGAACTCCAACGCTCGCCTAATCCCGACCCTTTCATCCCTTCTCAACACATGTCCATACCACCGCAATCTCGATCTCCTTATCAATGTCACAATGTCCTCATTCAGTCCCATCATTGACGAACAAGATGATGCTGTTAAATAAGTGATGATGTTGGTGATAATAAAAATTTTAAATAGACTGCTTGTTTGTTTTTTTATAAGTGATGTGTGTGTGTGTGTGTCTAAATAATGTTTAATGTTGTTTGATCGATCCATAAGTGAACTTTTTTTTTAAATAATTTTTTCACATTAAATGTTATTGATTGTTGGATGGTCCCTAAATCATTATGCCTGGTACACTTCTATTTATAAAATGCCATAAATTATCATCTGACATGTCAGCATCCGTGATGAAGATGAGTAGAGTACAGGGTGATGATGGTTAAATGATTACGTTGACGATGATGACATATCCTCATCATCATAATTGTCATGTCTTGCTATAACCATCATTATTCAGGACGTGATGTCCTTCATCATCATCAAAACTTCCATCATCGTATTGTCATCATCGTCATCATTGTCAGCGTTATATATATATATATATATATATATATATATATTTATATATTTATATATATATGATTTTGATAATGATAGTTATAACTAGACAGATAATGAGGGTGGTTATGTCAATAATGTTTATAAACCACACAATTATGATGGTGATGATAATGATGATAATGATGATAATGATAATGATGATGATGATGGTGATGATGATGATAGTGATGCTGTTTACGAGAATACTAAAAACGATAATGATGATGATGAAGATGAAGGTGATGATGATGATGGCGACAAGATTGACGATGGCGACGATGATTATGCTGCATAAGTTCGAGATTTTAAACAAATTACAACATTAGAAGTCTAAGCAGGCTTGTTTGCATAATAACTAAAAAGAAAAAATTACAACCACACTACTGCTGCTACTACTACTACTACCAACACTACAACTAACTACTGCTACTACTACTACTACTATTACTACTACTATTACTACTACTACTAATACTACTACTACTAATACTACTACTACTATTACTACTACTACTACTATTACTACTACTACTACTAATACTATTACTACTACTACTACTATTATTACTACTACTACTACTACTACTACTAATACTACTAATACTACTACTACTATTACTACTACTACTACTATTACTACTACTGCTACTACTACTACTACTACTACTACTACTACTACTAACTACTGCTACTACTACTAACTACTGCTACTACTATTACTACTACTGCTACTACTACTACTACTACTACTACTACTACTACTACTAACTACTGCTGCTACTACTAACTACTGCTACTACTACTACTACTACTACTACTACTACTAATACTACTACTACTATTACTACTACTACTACTATTAATACTACTGCTGCTACTACTACTACTACTACTACTACCACTATTACTACTATGTTACTACAACTACAATGCTACCACAACAACAACTACTACTACTACTACTAATAATAATAATAATAATAATATCTTCAATATTATCATCACCGTCATCTTCATCATCACCGTCATTTTCATCATCATAAAATCGTCATCACCAAATAAATCAGTCGTCACGGCCATTATAATAATATAATACTTAACGCTATTTCAATATACAATCAATTTATTGCCTTCCACATTGTTATTATTATTATTACGAAATGAATATATGCAATGCATGTATGCAATGGAACATATGACAAGATTTCGAGTGTTAATTTCATCATTCGTTCATTCGTTCGTTCATTTATTCATTCATTCATTCATTCATTCATTCATTCATTCATTCATTCATTCATTCATTCATTCATTCATTCATTCATTCATTCAATCATTCATTCATTCATTCATTCATTTAATCAATCATTCGTTCGTTCATTCATTCATTCATTCATGAATGAATGAGCGAGCGAATGAGCGAGAGAGTGAGTGAATGAATGAGTGAATGAATGAGTATACTACGACGAGACAACTGTCTGTCATTTTACGGCGCCATATCTCAATTCAATAGATTATGCATCATACACACATACTTGCTTGCTTGTGCAGATGCACAATTGCACACATACATATACAAACACACACACACGCGCACACACACACATACATACATACATGCATACATACATACATGCATACATACACATATACATACATACATACATAACATATATACATACATACACACATACATACATACACACATACATACACACACACACACACACACACACATACATACATACACACACATACATACATGCATACATAAATGTATACAGTAAATTCAAAACAAAACTGCCAAAATTGCTGTCGTTGGTAGAAAGTTCGACCACGTGATGCCAATCTTGAAGGAACTGCTTTGACTCACAGTGAAGGAAAGAATCATCCATAACATTTGCGTAATGTAGCCCAAGGCTGTAAATGGGCTTTTGCCAGAATATTTGGCAAATAAAATAACAAAGAAACCAGCTCTTCCAGCTGGTCCAAAGTTGAGATCCGACTGGTGCCATCTACTGATCTGCAGATTGCCTCAAATGATATCTAACATGTTTTCCTTGGTCGAAAAATGCTAACTTTCGCACAACGATGTGTCGACGCGTGTACGTAGTGATACACGCAGGCATACAAAAACACGTCATATTTATTTATTTTGCCTTTGTATTATTTATTAAGCATATTATTTTTTTTTGTATAAATGCAATTAATCCCAAACAAAGGGTTTCTTTTACGAAAACGTACAAATAATGATACACACGTGCTCGTTTGATTGAGCATACATGACAAACTGCCATATGAAAATTAAAGATGATGCGTAAATTAGAAGACACACGCAAAAATGAAATCAGGAATAATTCTACATACATACACGCACATACACGAACGCGCACATACATATACGCGTACGTAAGCACAGGTGCACGCACACATACATAGTGTGATACGTATATACGCATGAACAAACACGCATCTAAGCAAACATAATGTCATGCAGGCTATCTATTAATGCATATTCTGGAGGTAGTGGAGTGTGCATAGCATTAATAACAATTAGGAAAGAAGAAAAACAATTATAAAAAAAATAAAATAGATAATAATAACATAAACGCAACATCAACAATATGTAAATGATGGGATGCTTGTTTTTGTTGTTTTTGCTTGGGAAGGCTTAGAATGGTTGAGTGTGTTCATTCGTTCGTTATTCTTTTTGGAATTTGTTTTTTGTGGAATAATTTGCAGATGTTGTTTGTTTAAATATTTTTATCGTTACATATATTTTTGTTTTTTTATTCATTGTCGAGTTTTAAAATTTTAAGAAACGTTCCTTTTGTGTTTGCAGACGAAAAAGAAAAAAGAACAAAAGATTCTGACAGCAGCATTGGACATGTCAACAACTCATCATCGTCGTCGTCGTCGTCATTATTTATTTCTTCTTTACATTTATCATCTTCCTCCTTACCCTCCAGCTCCTCCTCCTCCTCATCATCATCATTCTCATCACCAGACTGGCTGTACATAGCTTCATTCGTCGTCCCGATACTGGGAGCCATCATATTAGTTTTTGTCGTCATCATGGCATTGAAGCTGCTTAGGAACAGCAGCAGCAGCAACAGCAACAACAACAGCAGCAACAACATCGGCAGCAGCAACAGCAACTACAATTACGATGCGTGTGTATGCAGCTGCTGCAACGACACCTACTGCTACAACATCGTGTGCGACGACGACAAGTGCAACAATGGAATCAATTATTCAGGCAGTACCTCCACGTGCAGCTTCAATAATAAGAACAACAACAACAATCCCGACATCAACAACCAGCCACAGCGAGGCTGCATCTGTGACAAAACATTAAACCCCGTCTGCTCTCACCGATACTCTATAAATATTGTCCTACTACCTGATGACGTCAATAGCAGACGCATGCTACTTCCGGCGAGCCGATGTAGCAGCTGTACGCATGGTGGCTACAGTCGTGGCTACCACGGCTTGCATCAAACCATCTTGCAGTGGATTTATCGCAAGTGTAAAAGTTCCATGGCGGGTAGATCGTCAGATGAGAACGCCGAACTCTTTTGTCCTGGAGAACGGAACAAAAGCACGAACCATGCATCTCACGAGCCACCATCTGACGAACATTTTTTTAGTTCTCAAGGGAATAAGTTATATTGCTTGTCGGAACATCTACTGGTTGAAGATTTCAAGAATTTGAAATCTCTACCGGAAACATCGATCAAAATGAACCCTCCAATTCACGATGTGCTGTGATTAATATTGTTGTTGTTCAACGCACTGTTTTAAATTTTTTCTTATTTTGAATTAATTACGTTATTTATTAAATATTTATTTATTTACAACAAATTAGAGTTTTAAATTTTCAGTCATTTTTTTTAAAGAATTGTTTTAAATTGTTCATAAATTTAAAAGTATTTGGTTATTTGCTAAAATTTTTGAAAAACCTTCTTGAGTGTCTGATTAATTTATTTAAAGCATAATAAAATAAATTTAACATAAAATTCACTGAAACCAATCATCATGCATTTGATGTTAATACAAATTTTGAAAGAAAAGAATGAGTAAAACGTTATTTAATGACTTAGCGCTGTGCATCTATTGCTGAAGATGGCAAGAACAATTATACCTGCTTACGAATTCGTAATTATAATTTATAACGTTGATTATAATCACAACCAATTAATTTTCTCATTCGTTCAGTCGTTTCAGTGCAATCATCGCCTTTAATTAATGACAAAAAATTAAATGAAATTAAGGGTTTTTGCCTGTACGTAGAGGGCTAAAGTTTGATGTTTAAAAATTATTTGTCTGGTGTTTCCATTTGACGCCAAAAATAAACTGAAGACATCGGTAGATTGGATAATTTACTAGAAAAAATTTTTTCCTTCGCTACCAATCAAGAATTATCCCTTTGATATAAATACAATTTTAGATTTCAAATTGAACGCTCCGTTTTTCGTATGACTGAAGATGATTTCTGACGTCCTAAATGGTTTACATATCATAGAACAACACATTTTCAACAATAACTCAATAAAAATAATAAAAATTAAAACAATTAAAAAATATATAAATATAAATCAATCAAAAATATTTAACTGATAAGTGTTAAATGAATTTTTAAAAACTTATAAAATATAAAATAATTTGTAAACTGTATTTAATTGAAGAAACGATATATTAAAAACTTTTCCAATTAAAAATTTATTTATAAAAACGTCAAAAATAAGCAACAAACATCTAGAGGGATAAGATGAATAGGCTTAGAATGGCCGCGACTACAAGAAACACGAACGATCAAATTGACCGAGTCCTCGATCATTTGTACATCGGATCCGTCTTCTCCCTATCACTTGAAAACATAAAAAGAGCAAACATCAAACTCATCATAGACTGCACTGTTGAAGGTCAGGGTAGATTTTTAAAACTTTAAGAACGTTATTGTTGTGGATTTCAAATTGAAAGACGTCTTTTGAAACTGGCTATAAAACAAAATACGACCAGTTTACATTAAAGATACCAATTTAATTTAGTAAAACGAAAATATACTAAGAGGAAAGATATTTATTACTAGAATATGATATGACTATTTGAATAGAGCCATTCGAACGGTCGTTGTCTCCAGCCCAATATTTAAATTTAGTTCATAGCCAAACAAATGGTCAAGTGCCTACGTTGATAATAATAAAATATAAAGCTGTTGCAAAACAAAACATATTGTACATGATTTTAAACAACCGACTTATCCAAACCAGCTGATGATTTGTATTTTATTTAAATATATAAGCAACTCGTTAATTGACTTGGAAATGTTAAACAACTCACAACCGCTCAAACAGGAAATGGCAAAGTATTTCCTGGCGTGGAGCAAATTCAAATTCCAATTGACGACAGTTTCAATGTTAACATTGCTACTTTTTTCGACTTGTGTGCGGACGCTATTGATGCTTGCCAGGTTTTTCTTGCAAAATATTAATTATTGATTAGAAAAAAGTATTCGTAGTTCATTTTATGTCAGTCATTTCATTACATTTGTTTTATATTTTTAATGCAATTTATCAATTGAACAACTTTTAACCTGGCATATTTGCGCTAAATTCTAAATAATTATTTTTTCAACTGGCCGTATGTAATCAATTTGAACGTTTAAAACGATCCAGAAACGAGGTGGTAGTACTTTGATCCACTGCACAGCTGGCATCAGTCGGTCGGCCACATTTTGCATTGCCTATCTCATGAAGTACAAACGAATGCGGCTGCGTCAAGCTTACAATAGGTTGAAGTCCGTTCGATACGTCATAAGGCCGAATGAAAATTTCTTCGAGCAGTTGATACTCTATGAACTGACTCTTTTCGGCAGCAATACAGTTTCAATGATACAATCTATGTTTGGTAGAATACCTGATGTGTACGGTAGAAACATTTATAATTTTGTTCCAGTATTCGGTCAATAATGATTTCATTTTCAATCAATGCATTTTACTTTTCGTTCTATTTAGTTCACAAGTCAATTCATTTTCTGATTTACAAAAGTGACAAAAAATACGACTTTTTAAACCATTTTTTAAATGATGTTTTAATAAAATAAGTTTGTACGATAAATCTAATAATCAGCAGTCATGTTTGATTGATTTAAAACCAAAAAATATATCCACCATAAATAACAAAAAAAAATAAGCATATGTAAATATTGTTTATATGACTCCTTCTCCAACCTTCCCAGCACCACCGAACTATGGATATGAGGCCCCTGGAAAAAGTCATGCTTCTAGTGACTGGCAACCTAATGATTTAAAAAAATGATTTACTACATAAACTATGAAGAACGTGAAAAAAGACAATTATCTTTTTAGATGCTGTATTAATATCAAGCCATTGAGCCACCTGTTTTTTCTTTTTATTTTATCAAATTTTGAATTAGCAATAAAACTGAGAAAGAGCTGAAATGGCCTTTGTGTTTCTTAATTTGGAAAGATTGTTAAATTTATCTTGAACTATGAATTTCTGCCCTTGTCCCACACAATCTTGTCCATTTGCCAAGAATAGGTACTTAGATCATGCCAATGTGGCTATTCAATTAAGATGTAACATTACTGATTATTATATGTATATATGATTGAAACTTGTTATATTTTAAATGTTTTAGTGTAATTTAAACAACTGTTAAGAGTTAACCTACCAATCCATCCATTTACGTATTTTCAGTTCATGTTAATTATATTAGCATGCGGGTTTTTTTCTTAATTGACTTTATAGTTATACATTCAAATGAATGATTACAAGGTCATCTCTGTCATTCTAGTTTATTTTCGCATAATGTTAATTATGTTTGGTAGTTTAAATTTAACTTAAGTTTAATTTGGGAAATTATGTATAATTTAATTCGGAAATGGGCATAAGTTTACATTCCGAACTACAAAGTTAAAATTTGTTTACATTTATGATTGTTTACATCACTATCTTTAATTGAGAGTTACAAAAGCGCCTCCCACTAATATGCAAAAAGTTGATTGAGATAAAAATAGAAGAATTTTAAAAACGTTTATATCGTATGTAAATATGTTAACATAGTAATATATTGATTAAAATAACAATATATATATATTAAAATTTATTAAAATCAATTTATTGAAATAGTTCTCGTGGTTGTTCTCGTGGTTGTTTTAATAAGGTTACATTGAAAGGTATGCCGACATCGTTGAGTAATATCATCTGCCTCCGACGCGACATCTCCATCATCGTAACAACACGAAACATATAGAACGAACAATTTTATTATACTTCATTTTATCATTTCTTCTATTTTCAATTAATTTTCAATATTATTTTTTCACGACAACCTAACTTAACCCTGCCCCTAACCCTGACACATACACACATCAACGTTACACACATATACATTATACACATTATTTTACTAAATTATACGTGCAAATTATAATATACGTACAGATAACGTGTAATATACGTACAAATTATAATAAAATAAAACATATAATAATAATATTACAATATAAACATATAAAAGGCAAAAACGCATGCATCTATTTTAATCTCAGTGCACTTTTCGAATTTCAGTAGGAGGAGCTTATTTTATTCTCTATTAGAGATAGTGAATGTAAACAGACGTTGTAGTTCGGAATGTAAACTTATGCCCGGAAAGGCAGGAAATGTTTTTGAGGAAGAAGCATTAATTTAAATAAAAAAATGATTCCCTCTCATCATAGAAACCCCGGGCAGGGTGTACCACCACGCAAGAAGATACAGGTATCTTTTTTCATTTTTTTTTTATTTTATAAAAAATTGAATATTGGTAATTATAATTTAATAATTAATATAATAATCAGTGTTAATAATTACTGACATATTGTTTTTTTGGTTCTGTTAGGTTTTTATTTAATTTTCTTTTCAACTTGTCTTATGCAGCTTTTTAAATTTTACATTTAAATTTTAATTTATTAATTTAATGTTTAATTTTTAATTTAATCTTTAATTAATGTTTATTTAATTAACTTAATTTAAATTTTGATTAATTTATTTTTAATTATTTACAGTTACTCTTTTTTTGTTACACTTTTAAACAGTGTTATATTTTTTTCAAAGTTGTCATATGTCATAAGGGATGAAGTAGAAAGGTTCCACAGGTCTGGGGTGAACAGTCTGAAATTTGATCCACTCCTGGATAGGTTGTACTCCGCTGGCAGGGACTCGGTTATTCGTATGTGGGATGTTGAAAATAGACACGTACGTTAAATTACAATTATTTTATTTTATTTTTTTAACTATTAATTATATTATTATTAAATTAATAATTGTACTAATATTTAATTAAAAATGATATTATTATTTAATTTAACACAATTTTCTTGGCATGCTGGTTTCTTTTTCAGTAACATTTTTTTTATATTTTATTTATTTATACCTTGTAGTACAGACACTGAAAATATAGCATTTTATTGATTTTCTTAGACTTTTTTTTAAATTATTTTTTTTTAAATAAAAGTTTTAATCATTCAAAATTGACTTTGCTTCATATTTTACATTATTTCAGGATTGCTACATAATGTCCATGGAGCATCATAACGATTGGGTCAATGACATTGTTGCTTGCTGTGATGGAAAGACATGTTAGAGAATTCTCTGGAATTAGTTCAAGCTTTTCATAGCTTATAATTTACTTTTAAATGATTTTCAAAGGATTATGTAATTTTATTTATTTACAGTTATCTCGCCATCTTTATATAAAAGTTTTTTTTTTAAGTTTGTATGAAAGGCACACTTGAAGAATGTTCAATGTTCATTATTATTAAATTGACAATTTAGATTTGAAAAAATTTGTTTATAGCAGTATTTACATGTTTTCAGTAATATCAGCCTCATCAGACACAACAGTCAAAGTTTGGAATGCACACAAAGGCTTTTGCATGTCGACATTAAGAACTCATAAGGTTATTGTTGTTATAAATTTTTGTTTTTAGCATTTAACTGATGTACAATTTTAACTCCTGATAGAGTTGTATGTCTCTTGCGGATTGTATGCTCTACATTATTATCATTGTATGTTGTAGCTATTGAAAAGATGTCTTTATTTTCTTTCTACTGTTACATTTTTTCAAAAACAGTTCTTTAAATAAAAAAGTTGAAAAAATTTATGCATTATTCAACTTATATTGTTCGTCATGTTCACACGCAAACATTCAAAAAATTAGAATCCATCATGATACATTGATACGTTTGTTTGATGAATGAATGAATGAATGAATGAATGAACGAATGAACATGCAGGATTATGTGAAAGCACTGGCCTATGCAAAAGACAAGGAGCATGTTGCCAGTGCAGGTTTAGACAAGGCCATATATCTCTGGGATGTCAACACTCTGACGGCTCTAACTGCATCCAACAACACTGTTACAAGTTCGCGACTGAATTTTTTTTCCACAATATTATTTTCGTTCTTTCTCCATTGTTTTCATACAAATTTGAGTTTTTATCATCAGTCATTGGATAGTTTAAAGGTTATTTTAAAAATGAAGTTTATTTAAGTCAGCACAACAGTGCACTTCAAAAAAATATTTCATTCAAATTTTTCAAATTTTCTCCACTTTCAATAAACAACATAAACATCACACATAAACGCACATAAACATCAGCAATGGCATCAATTGCAGCATCAACAAAACTGACAGCATCTAATCTTCCTGGATCCAAAGATTCTATCTACAGCATAGCAATGAACAACTCCGGATCGATTGTTGTCTCGGGTTCCACTGACAGACTGATTAGGGTCTGGGATCCGAGGTCTTGCCAAAGACTCATGAAACTTCGGGGCCACACTGACAATATCAAGGCTCTTGTTTTGAATAAGGACGGATCACAGGTTTATCTAGATTTTCTTAAATTATCATTTTAAAGTGTTTTCAAAAATTTGTACTTGAATTATTGCGTTTATAAGCATTTCAATTATTGATCTCACTGAAATAAGGACTCTACACTACATGTTTTGGTTAGATGAAAATGTTGAAGTAAAGACTGTGTCAGTTTCATACAATATGAAATTGTGTATGAGCATTGATTTATATTAACATTTAATATTATTGCTAACGAAATTATATGCACTTTTATTTTCAGTGTTTATCTGGCAGTTCAGATGGTACCATCAAGTTGTGGTCTCTTGGTCAGCAGAGATGTGTGGCCACTTACAAGATACATACAGAAGGAGTCTGGTCAATTCAGGTACTTCTCTTTAACATAAATTTGCATGAATAACTGCGTTCTTGACTCTTTCCAGTTTCATAATTTCTATGATTGAACATTTTTAAAAACTAGTTATTTATAAATTTGTTTTCCTCATACAAGTCTGTCAATAAACACATGTCTTTATGTGTATACGAACATAAACATGCATATGTATATTTATTAAGTATTAGCATACATGAATGTCACACTTCATCTCAATCATATTCACAATAGACGAACGAAAGTTTCACTTCTATGTACTCTGGTGGTAGAGATGGCAAGCTGTGGGCTACGGACATCAGGAATCCTGACAACAGGACACTTATTTGTCAGGAGTCCTCTCCGATACTTAAGGTCTGCTCTTAAATTCTGGTGGATCTATGCACCTGCTACGATCCACATCTTCAAACTTTCATTTCTTCATTCGATCAATATTTAAATTTTGAGTTTGATTTACAGAATAAAATCTATTATATATATATATATATATATATATATATATATATATATATATATATAATTTTGTTGTTGTCTGTTATAATTCAAAAGGTGTGTCAAGGTGTGTGGAAACAAATGGTTGTATTATTTTTGTCTTATTTTCCCTGATGTCTGTTTAACAATCGGTGACAATAATGATGATGATGATTTATTTATATAGTTTGAAGATAATAATATTTCTATTTAGCAACTGATAATATTAATTTTAATACTGCAATTTTTTATTTATTTAAAAGTGGCATAATGAATATTTTAAGAGCGAATTCATTTTTAAAGGTTGAGTTAGGATCAGTTGAGTCAAATTCCATTTGGGTGGCAACCAGTGAGTCATCGATTCATAATTGGGTCAGTTTAAATATGTATGATTGGAAATAATTATGTGTGTGTGTGTGTGTATGTGTGTGTGCGTGCATGTGTGTTTTGAATATAAAGCGCCACATATTGTTATTATTATTGCTATTTTGATTATTATTAAATGGACATTTACAGTGCTATTTTAAAAATTCTAAAATGCGCTAATTCATATAATAAATATAGACTCACGCATGTGTGTATATCGTTAAAAAATTCATATATATGTGTGTCTATACTAATATAATTTCTATAGTCATTAAAGCCAGAGCAGTGTGGATCAGGTGGTGGTGATGATGATGTGGTCAGCAAACGGGTATCATCATCATCACCGTCATCATCACCTTCATCATTTACTCCTAAGTTGTTGAAGACTATAAAAGGTGTGTAGAGTTTGGCCTTTTTGTTTTAATTTCTTTCTGTTTCCTATTCTTACTCTTTTTCTGTGTGTGTGTGTGTGCGCGCATGTTTGTGTGTGCATGTGTATGTGTGTGTGGTGTGTGTATGTAATTATATTTCACTTAATATTTCTTTGTTATAGGCGGTCCAGCAATAAAACAGTATACAGTACTAAGCGACAAAAGACACATTTTAACAAAGGACTCAGATGGACATATGGCAATTTATGATGCCCTGACTGTTAGATGAATTTGTTTTCTCAGCTTTGCAAGATTTGATCCATGTGTGATTTTTCATTTAAAAATTTGTTGATTGCTTGAATTTGTTCTAGAGACACATTTTTTACGATCAGTTGAGTTAAATAATTCTGAAAACTATGATTTATTTGTTGAAGGCAATGAAAGTTGAAGATTTGAAAAATGAAGATTATGATGAAGTGGTAAAATCCAGGTCGAAAATGCTGTTCATCCCAAACTGGTTTACAGTTGATCTCAAAATTGGGGTTGCTCTGCTCTTTCTTCGCATGCTTAGCTACATTTGCTTTCTTATTAATGAATGCTTAAACAATGCAAATGCTCGAAATCGACTAATAACGAAATTGAAACCATCGCAACCTCCATCATCTCATTCAGTTGTTGATGCTGCATCTTGACGAGGCGGATTGTTTCCAGGCGTGGGTGTCTGCCGCTGACGTTGGATTGGAGCTACCTGATGAAGCATCTGAACAGAAAGGTGTGTGATTCACCTGTTCACATTTTGAAAAATTGTTGCTAGTTGCAAACATCAAATTCATTGTTCAGTTTTTTGGATGGAACAATATACGGATGACGTACAATACTTGCCATTCCAACCACACGCAGATGCATTGTTATTTAAAATTATTTTTTTTCATTCCAGTGAACCTGGGCAGTTTAACACTGCAGGCCTTGTTGGAAAACTGGCCACCAGCACGCAGTAGGAGTTTTAATCATTTCAATCACCAGCATCATATTGTGTGTCCGCTCGTACTTATTTGTTCATTTCCCCATTCATTCACTCAATCATTCACTCATTGTATTGTATTGTATTTGATGACTTGTATAGCGCCCCTCCAGAATGACATCAGAATCATTCATTTTGCAACTATCATTTGGTGTGCTCTAGTTGGCAGCCACCTTTTTTATCATTAAGTTGCTCTTTGGCATATTTTGGTTTGAGTGAAAAAAACGAAATTAGCTAGCTGATTTTTCGTAACACTGTAGTACTATAATACGAATTATAAACTGTTATTGTTTATGATTTTCTAACATCTTTTTTAAGATTTTATTTTTGTTTTGTTTGAGGCCAATCAGATACTAATGAAATAGATTGTCTAGACAAGAGACCGATCAACAATTTTTTCAGCGTTCCAACGCACACACCCATCATCTTCAGGTAACTTACGTTTCACTACTTTATTACTGATCATTTTTTCTGCTTCTGCTTAAAATCTTTTTTCACAATTTATTTTATAAACCTCGCATTAATAGACACTGTCATTATTTTCTTAATATTTTTAATGTGCTTATTAAAAAATTTTCTCAAAAGCGCTATTAAAATTAAATATCTGAGTCTGACATAATCATTTTCTTGGTTATCCCGACAAATTTTTAAAGTTTCTAGCTGGGGCCATAAAAACAAAATTTATAAAGACAAAGATGGTGATGACCACTAAAAAAACTTCTCAAGATGATGATAGTGGTTGTCATTAAACATCTCAATTCTCACACCAATTTCGAAAAATTGTTTTCAGTGATGTTGGGGGCAGAACCAACCTGAGAGTAACTTGTAGGGACACAGGATCAGATGTAGAGCAAAACCTTCTCGGCGAATCCGTGCCGCAGTGGGTGACCGACGTCGTTGTTCAGGTTGGCCATTTTCACCTTAGTTAATTTTGATGCTATTAAAATTTTAATTAATTTTTTAAATGTTTATATCTTCCTACTACTGTGGAATTATTATTATTACTAAAACTAATAAATAAAAAATGAATAAATTACATTTGCTCAGAAAATTCAGCCTCCATTAACTAAAATTGCTTTCTCGCTTCTACCTTACTGCGGCCCTGCCACCAAGAATGTCGTACCTCAGCTGAAAAAGTAAATAAATTTATTTTATATTTTTCACTGCGCCGTTAATTCGTCATTTAATTATATTATCTTCTGTTCTGGGAATTAGCAACTTATTTTAAGAGGTTTTTTTTAATAGTTTTCATCATTTATTGTCAATTTTTAAAATTTTGAAAATAAAGTATAGATTTTTAAAATGATTATTTTTCAGTTCTGAATCGGGTGAATATGTTATTTTAATGATTTTATATTCAAATTTTCTTGACGGAAAGGTAACATTTTTTTTGATAAAACTATTGAAAAAAAGTCCACCAATTCATGACTCCAGGGAGCGCTTGTCGGCAAATGACATGATTCAAATAAAGAAAGTGATCGAGCATGTATGGGACAAGATGCTGGGTCAGTGTGTGGACAACGGCATGGCTGTGGATGAAGGCGCTGCGGCGGCTACACATCTTCAATCTGATGAAAAAGTTGACATACTTTGCAATGATCAAGTATGTTCTGTCGTTTTTTTTTCATTTTTTGATAAATGTTGGTTTAATGATTGTGATTGCTGGTTTAAGTTGATTTTATTATGATAATGAATACAGCCATACTGATTACTTACTTGAAAATTGTCTAGTTTCATTTGGGCTCTAACTACTATCAGCCAAATATATTGAGTTTGTTTTTTCTGGTATCTCAAGGTTTTGGATGTGAACATGGATTTGAGAACTGTGAAGCACTTCATCTGGAAGCAAGCATCTGATCTAGTCCTTTATTATCGAATCAGTAATGAAAAAACATCAACCACCTGTTAAGCACCATTTATTTCATGACAGTGTGCTAAATCAGTCAGTTGCAATCTTCGTAATGTCGGTTCTACCTGATGATTCAACTGACTTCAATTCAGCCAGTCACGGCAAATAACTACAATTTCAATGTTCGCCGTTGTAAATTTTGTAAAATTCTTATAATGAAATGGAAATTATGACCGAATGTGTAAATCGCATTTTTTTTCTATAAATTAAAAACAGTAAAACTAATGAACAAAAATAATTTAAAAACGATCGCGATTTGATTGATGTTTTTTTTTATTTTCTCGTTCAAGGACTGCACTCGTTCGATGCTTAATCGTTTTCTTAATTAGCATCATTAATGAATTGTAAATGTTTTTCTTTACTTATTCACTTTTTTATTTTTAGAGTCATTATTCTCATTGAATTGTAATGGTCGAGCTTTGCCAAAATTGTTTGTATCTTCTCGCTAGAATCGCGTCAGTGTTTTAATTTACATTTTGTTACATCTTGACGCTCCCTCAGAGAAATGTAAGCTAGCGTGGGCGGTTGCAGATACTTTTCCGAAATCAGACTTCTTTTTTCGGCCATGTCAAACTGCATTCCTGCACTCCTTATCTGAAAATTTCTTTACTGACGATTGGATTTACGAAATCCGCGAACGTGAAGTTCATACACTAGTAAAACCAGACGAATTCAAAAGACAACCAGATGAATATTTATTCAATAACAACACTCATATAAGCAGTCATCAACAGTTTGAATAAATAAATAAATGAAAACATCCATAACTGAATGTTGAAGATAGCGTCAAGTGAAATGAATGTCGATGGTTTGTTGTGGTCATCAGGTTGCACCTCTCCACTATCGCGGATTTCAAATACAACCGTCATAATTGGTCGACTTAGCCGTTATTTAAGCTCACCGGTGTTGATTTTGAAATAGAACAATACATTTTAAATACAGTCGAGCTTAAGAAACAACGAAATATAGGCGGCAGTCCGTGATTTATATAAACACGATACATAAAAGATACTCAAGAATAGCGAGTTGCTTAAAAAAGGCTCAGTCTAACCATCCACAAAGCATGTCGATTCTAAACGACGTCACGGTGACGTCAGTTTACGAAGATCAGGTAAGCATGTTTCGAAGTGATTGTTTCGGATGGCGTTTGAGGTAGCACGTATGATCTGAAAGTTTTATGTAAGGTTCGCCACCTGAAACAAAAAAATTAATATTTTAAACGTCTCAAAATAGTTGAGAGCAGTGATTGTCAATTCAACATTGTATTTGTTAATAGCAACGTTGGCTAGCTAAGGTTATCAAATTCACGATGGTCAGTTTTACTACGCTATGCGAATTGACAGCAATAGCTATTGAAAATATGTATGACATTTGGTTCTCACTTCTCTCCTTCATTTCAGAATTTTCCAAATTGTAATCATCTTCATCCTCATCAAATGGTCTTTCTACTCGTTTCAAAATTCTATTGACGAGAAAATAGTCGCCATGTTCAGCTGCTTGGATTGCCTGCTGTACTATGTAGTTGCGTGGAATGAACCTGCAATATTTCCAGGTAGATCAAATAACGTTATCTGACAAATTTAAAATAATCCGGTATGAGTTCAATGATGAAGCGACGTGAAACGCAATAATTTAATAGTCTTCAGTTATATTTTGGCAGAAAAAAAATCTAATTTTAAACTCTAGTTTTTTAGTTTAATCATGAAATGGTGAAAATAAGAATAGTAAAACAGCTAAAGTAGTTAAGCGCAAGAGAGGTCCGACCTTGGATTGACTGACTTCATCATTTGCGATCTTGCACCATCCAGATCTTTCAATAATTGCTCGTCAAAGTTGAGGCCCATCTTGGTACCGTCGTCACACTGCTCGTCCACACAACTTCCTACGCGTGTTCTTACATTCGTCTGCTGATAGTCTTGCCTCAATCTTGCAACATACTTCTCCAACCATCTCGTCCAAAGATTATTATCATGATCTGTTTTCTCTAATTCTGGGTTCTGAGATGTTTATAAAATGATGAATTTTATTAAAGCTGGCTTAATCTCAGGTAATAGAGATAATTTAATGATTCTTGATATTTGTAACAACGAGACATAATGAGCTATTCTAAGTATATGGACATTACAGACCGCAATTAAAAAAACAGTTGATAAAGAAATCTATAATGCTAACTAAACAAGAAAGACGATTAAATTTATTGTGAGGCAGTTCAATCAAGATAAAATAAAAATTAGTAATTATAAACGGTAATAAATACATTGTAATAAAGATATCTCTTCATCTTGTACTCCTCATTGAGCAATACATCCTTCTGTCCGATCATCATCTGAGTTAATGGAGAGTCACTTCGCAAAATTTCCAGTGCACGATCCAGTGTGCTGCAGTCGGAAGATGATTAACACATTAGTGATTAATTTTAGCATGCTCTTGCTGTTACAAACTTGTTATGCGCCCAATATTTGAAATATTACACAAAAACTTTTGAGTCTTATATAATTAGAAAATTTTATTACATATACGTAATTTGATTTTTTCTTCATATTAACAAAATTTCAATTCTTTTAAAACATTAATGACGAAAAATGTTTGGCCCACCAGAAGTCAACTTTTGTTGCATAATAAGATTTCATTTCATCAGCAGAAGGACATTGTTGTAGCAACATTTTCGTAACCTCACTGATGTGTTGCTGGTTGCTGTTGCAGTTGCCAGCGCCATCTGTTGCAAAGCAATCAGCCAATCGAAGTTGATTGAAACAAACGAATGTGTTTGTGTAATCAGCTCCTGTTTTGTTCATAGTATCCAAAAGTTCCTCAACGAGCAGTCTTTTAAAAAATAAGACATCAACAAACAGGTAACTTAATTTATTAGATATTTATATTTAAATAATTATTTTGAAAGACAAACACAAACACACCTGTCAGATTCTTGTTCTGTTAACAACCCCAACTGTATAAAATTAAAATTAAAAATAAGATTAAAAGTTATGATTATTTGCAATAATTAAAAAACAAATATAAATGAAATTGAATAAACAAAAGATGAAAATAGGATAGATGAATTAAGTACAATATGTCAGAAATTATTGAATGCATGTTTCATTTTACCTTCTTCCTCATTATTTCCAAGTAAGATTTTTCAAAAATCGCATCAAACTCCTCAACATCTGCTTCAACACCAGATGTTAGACCTTGCAAACTTTTTGCCAGCATCATGCAATTCCACTTGCATATAGAAGGCTGGTTCTTAAACATGTATCTGCCAGCAGTATCTGGTATAGTATCATTGTTTCAGCATTTAATAAACATCGTGATACTTTATTTAACATAATAACTCACTAAAATTCTTGCAGTTGCAATGTTAAAATAATTCTAATTGAAATAGCAGAATTATAAATACCAGATGCATTTGGAATATAGTGTGGATCATAATGGTCAAGAAATCCATATGGTCCATAATCAATGGTCAAACCCAAGATGCTCATGTTGTCTGTGTTCAGAACTCTGCAGGTAAATTAGTAAAAGTTTGAAAAAATCAACAGCCTGATACTGTTTCTTAGCAAGTTTTATTAGTTGACATCATTAAATCTGTATATATAAAAAAAACAAATAGACATAAAAAAAGTGAAAATAAATCATATTACTACATGTTTAATCTTTAATGGAAACTAATGTTTCTTAAGTGTAATAGCATGAAGGGAGTGATGATAAATTTTGAGCCTACCCATGACACCAGCCAATAGATTGCCAATGAGCAACTAGTTTGGCAGTCCTCCTAAGAACTTCTGTTAAAAATTCTGTATACATAACTTTCTTATTTTCTTTATAATTGTCCCATATCTATATTTAAATATATAAGATTAGGATTTAAAGATCTTTTTAAAATTCTTTAATATTAGATAGAAATAAATTTTAAAATTGAATAAAGATGACCTGTGGATAGAATGTTTCAATAACATAATCAGCCAGGTGATTGAGAATATAAGAATGTGCCACACTTGGCCCATAGTTGTTGGTTACTCTGTCAGCTCCTTTGCAAATTTCAAATGATCCAAATCTGAAAACGTGAGATGTTACTTAGTAGCAGATCAACTTTCACTCAAAACAGCAACCACTGGAGCAACATTTTACTACTAATTTTGAATGATTTGAAAATGAAAACAACAATGAAGATGTAAATTACTGAAAGTTAAAAATGAAACCTGCCTGATGAAAGAGGGAGCCAACCTGCAAACAACTGAACATCTTTCTAATATTGGATTGCCATCATAAAAAACATCTCTAACAACCATTGTATCTGAAGTTATTATGCTAGATGCTCTTGTGGTAGGCACATTCAAATAGTACATCGCCTGTTATCAATTGATAACTCATAATTATCTTTTTATGAAAAAGTATTTAATAATCAATTTAATTTTTAAAATGTCTGAATAAAAATATTTTTAAGATTAACCTCGCTGCACAGAAACTCTCTGAGACTGGACCTTAACACTTTCCTACCATCTGCAGTCCTCGAGTAGGGAGTCAAACCTGCTCCCTTCAGTTGCACTTCCCATCTCTCACTTTTTCTGTTTATGACAGTTCCCAAAGTTCTGAAAAGTAATGCAAATAATTCGAAACTTCAACAGTTATATTTAATTTTACATGGTCTACTCAAATTAATGAGTTGTCATTTAATAATAAGTAAACCCCAGAAAAATATTGCTACATTTAAACAGCTAAAGCCAATTTTGATTTTTTAGAAAATAATAGGGTAAGGCTTATCATTTGATTAAAAGCCTAATTGTTAAAAAGTGTACTAAAACAAATTATTGCACATTTTAACAATTTTTGGTTTCATGCAATATTAAATAAGCTACATCAACTAAATGATAATAATGATCTAAATTCGTTTTACACCAGCATCACAATCATAACTAAATAAGTGGTATTTACATTGCTGCACCATCACCAAGTTGACCAGCAAAGCTACCAAACTGATGTCCACAGTAACAATGGGCCAATGGAATAGAGCCGGGTAGTACTGAGTTTCCCGAAAAATATGAAATAAATTCTTTTCTTTCAACTTCTTTTAATGAAATATCTAACAATTCCAAAGCAGATTTTGAAAATGAAACTAATTGAGGATTTGTGATGGGTGTGGGCAAAACTTTTGAGTAGCAAGCTCCTTCTACTTTTCTTACTATATTTTCTTTGTTTTCATCAATTGGCAAACATTTCATAGCCTTGTCATCAAAGGTTAATGTTTCCAATGAAACAGTTGGACTTTCAGGATTTCTTTGAAACAAACTGCTAGTCATTTTTAACATTTTTCTGTGTCGTTTTGACAATCCCGCGCAGTTAATTTTCAACAGATTCACCAAATTGTGAAACATCAATATTTAAATTTTAGTAGTTTTTTTAGTAATCTTATTAGTTTTCACGTTTTCAGTAGTTTAATTTAAAATTAACTTTGAGTGACGGACTCAGCTTATGTGAAGCGGCTCGTTTTATTACATTGCATGCAAATTGCTTGCATTAAAAATTTTTAACAAGCATAAATAACTTAAGTCTTTCTTAACTCTTAACTTAACAATCTTCCAAAAAATATCAAATTTAAAATTTTATTTTATAAGTAAGGTGCTGGCCATTGCCTCAGTACTGTAATGTAACACTTCTTTTAGTTATAAGTTAAAAGTTTCAGTTTATATTTCAGTTATTTAGTTAAAAGTTTCAGTTTATATTTCAGAAAGTAACATCGCCACTTAACATTTTTTTTAAAACAAAATTTTGTCACATTAAACAATTTCACTAAATTAGACAAGTTTTGCGACTATTACGTAACAAGTTTTTTGGAAGCCGCGTTTTGTCATTTAAAAAGTAATGTACGCAGTGCAATGAAGATACCGAGTTTTAACGAGCGTTCGGTTTTTTCTATATATATGTATATTGGCGTAGACCTCGTGGACTATACACACATATATATTTTGATATATATATATGTATATATGTGTGTGTGTGTGCGTGTGTAGATCAATACATATACTTAGAATTATAAATGTATATATATGAGTATATATATATATATATATATTTATATATATAAAATAAAAAGATGCAGTTGTCGCATTTTTAGTAATTCAGCGCACACACTGATGAAAGCAAGTAAGCATATTAGATAAAATATACCAGATAGAATAAACGAAAAAACCATGATATTATATGGTATTATATTATAGGGGTTATAAGTATTATTATGGTATATATTATATTATTTGAATGATATTGCTTTAAAGTACCGACTAACTTGGTTATCGAGTATCCGTTAAGTATTTACGATTCCATTCAAACAAATTTCCAAATTTTTTTATTGTCTTACTTCGATTCCTTACTTGTTCTTACACGTAGGCTATGGAGTAAAAAGTAAAGTTAAACGAATAACGTCTTATTTCCAGTTGTTTATTTTTATGTGTTGTCATCGTGTTATTTCATGAAATCAGGAAAGATCGTCCGTGGCTACATAAGGAGAGCGATGACAACAGCACTGAACGATCCAACAGGCAGAGGAGGTGAAAACTCTCAGCAGAAGAGACAGTACAGCAGGATGTACATCGCCGTCTGCCTCGTCTTGAACATTCTCCTCTCCATCTCGATCGTTTTCGTCAACAAGTTGGTGTACACTCGAATCATGTTCCCAAACATGACGTTGACCTGTGTACATTTTGTGTTCACAACCATTGGCATGTGCATATGTAGGTTCTGTTCCATGTTTGAGTTCAAGGTGCTTTTACATTTATGACACTTACTTCACTTTGTTAACATTTTAATTAAAGATTAAAAATTGGGTTTTAAAACACTAGTTCAATTAATTTAATTTAAATTTTTAAAACTTAAAAGTGAGTTAAAATCTCTGAACATTGATTGAATTTTTTCTTATTGTAAAGAATTAAACTTTATTAACTTCAAAGTTACTGCCTATCTCAAAGATGATTCCAATATCATTAACATTCTGTGGTTTTGTAGTGCTGACAAATTTGTCATTACAAAGTAATACAGTGGGCACCTACCAGATCATAAAAACAATGACAACACCTGGCATCATAATTCTCCAAACATTTTTTTACGGCAGATCTTTTTCAACGAAAGTCAAACTAACATTGGTGAGATTTTTGAATAACTATTTATTTATCTTTTATTCATGGTTTTGTGTTTTTAACTAGCAGTGCCTTAATTAAGATAATTAATTTTTATTTTATATCATCATCATTATATATATATATATATATAACATACAGTCTTATTCGGTCTCTGCATGTTCAACTTCATAACTTTTATTCACTTATTTTATTTGATATGTTGTTGATTATGAATAAACTTTGAAATGAAATATTATATATATATATATATATATATATATATATATATATATATATATATATATATATATATATATTAAGAATTGATACATGTGAAAAATATTACAATCATGTTAAATGTTAATTTTTATAGATTCCAATAACAGCTGGTGTTTTTATGAATTCCTACTTTGATCTAAGGTTCAATGTCATTGGACTGATCTTTGCACTGTCAGGTGTTGTGGTTACTTCTTTGTATCAAGTGGTTAGTCATTTTGTTTTTTTTTTTTGAAAAAATTATTTAATTAATATATTAATATGTATACATATTAATACTTCATACATATCAGTGGAATACATTGAAATAGGCTTAGATGTTAATTTTTTTAGGACCTTACATCTAGATATTAGTTTTGCTTAAACTTTTTATTCTCTTATATACATGATTCATACATATAACTTAATATCAGAAAGTTAAAAAATTTAAATACAATTAAACTTTAATAATATTAAATGTAGTAATTTTTTCCTTCAGTGGGTGAATGAGAAGCAGACTGAATTCAGTTGCAACTCGATGCAGTTGTTGTACTACCAAGCTCCTCTCTCTGCCATCGGAGTGGCCATCATTGTGCCACTTTTTGAACCTGTCATCTCACCTGGAGGAATTTTTGGCACCCCTTGGGATGTTTACTCTTTGGTTAGTTTGCTTTCTGTTTATACTTATATAGAGTTTTAATAATGATGTAATTCATTATACTTGTTACTTTTTTTGATGAATGAATTCTTTCTCAATTGAACGTTTAGCTACTTTGTGTTGAGATATTTGTAAAACTATTCTCACTGCTCATTCAAGCTCCTTGTATCCCTATCTGGTTTAATTGCTTTTGCCATCAACCTCTCCATATTCTGGATCATTGGGAACACTTCCCCACTCACGTTAGTTGAATTTTAATGGTGATGGATGCATTTGTTAAAAGAGTTATGTAATGTACTAAATTGTCTTTTGGTTACTGATTTGGGCTTTAAAATGGAAATTGAAAAACCTTAGAAATACTTATTGTCGAATTATGTGCTCAAATCATCATTATTCATTTATTTAAATTTTAGTCTACAATTTCACTTTTCTGTTTTGAAAATTATTTCAAGTTACATTCGGTTTGTAAAAATAATTAATCGTTTTAATAGCTGAAGTTGAATTGTTAACGTGGACAGGTACAACATGGTGGGTCATTGCAAGTTCTGTCTGACAGTTGCCGGTGGCTTCCTCATCTTCAGTGATCCAATCACTTTCTATCAACTCTTCGGCATACTGCTCACCTTTTCAGGTCATTTCAGTTCAACTGCTGTTTTATTCAGTTCAACTGCTATTTCCTTTTTTTAGTTTTCAATTATAACTTTTCCATCCCATTGTAATATATATTTAATTTTTGAAAGACATTAGAACTGGAGTAAACAGGTCCTAATTTGCGCATTAAGTTATATTGGGTTCTGAGCTGAACCCAACATTTTATAAAATTGTATTTGAGTAAGTACTTGAGCAAACATGAGGTTGTGCATTTATTTCAGATGAACATAAGCTGAATCTCAGCATGGTTTTATATAATGAAAATAATGACCGCTTGGTAATTAACTTTATAAATGAAGAATCTTGTAACTCACTGATTCAAAATGTGTTCAGGTGTTCTAGCCTACACTCATTTCAAGATGAATGAACAGAAACAACAGCAGGCAGCCAGGTTGGAGATGGAGAAGATAAATGATGAACTGAAACAGGTAACCACCAGTAGCCAACAATTGCCAACGCCATCACATTCCAGCATCGAAATCATTGGAAAAAGTTGAATCAAATTTCAATATATACAGCTTTATGTAGACTAGTTTGTAGTTGTTGAATGCTAACTTCAATTATTTGAATAGATATTTATATGCTAGTTTGTTTGGTTCATATGAATTTGGTTCATAATATTTAGTTCATTACAATTTAAGTTACTTTTTGTTCATTGTTATCACGACGCAATGTGAATATTTTCGTGCTGTATTTCATTTGTTAATGTTTAGTTACTACATAACAAATTTTGGCGTAAATAGATAAATTTATTTAGAACAATTGTTATTAAATTTAATTATTTTTAGTTTTGAAATTGTTAGACGTGTGTGTAAAATGTATAAATATCGCTACATTAAAAATTAAGTGAGGTTTGCCATTTTTATTCCGGCATATTTACACACTTACTTTTTACCAGTGAAATTCTGAATAATGATTCCAATTGTTTTGTTCAGTGATTATGTTGAATGGAATTTCAATTATATGAGTGTTTTCATGTGTGGTGAGTTCGTATTTGTGTGTGGTGTGTGTTTTGCTGCATACATATTTTTATTTTTAGCGGTTTGCTATTTATTCTTTATTACCATTTTCATTTTTAACTAATTATATTTGTTTGCATATCATAACTTTTCATTTTGAACAGTATATTTTTATGGCGTGTATAATTTTATAAGTTTTCTGTGGGTTGTCTTTTTTTGATAATACAAAACTTTAACTTTGAAGAACGGGTATACCTTTTTATTTATTGTCTTGTTATGATTTAGCTTCAAATGTTTTACTACTTGTGTTATTTTTAAAATATCCACAAATCATGCATTTCCCGATTTAACATTGCATTGTTAAACACGCTAGAAGGTCGTACGTACACATATGCTTACATATTTAGAAAAAAAACTTTCAGATAAATTGCAACGTTTATCTATTGATTCATCTTATTGGCAAATCGAATTCATATTGAAAAAAGATTAGAAGTTTTTCTGCAAAAACTGTTAAAATATTTATGTATATATGTACGTAAAACGACAGCTGTGTTGTTTATTGTGTATAGTAGTCAAACAATGGGTTTGTAATGAAAATGTAGATGCAATGTAATCACTGCTTAATAATCAAACTGAGTATAATTCAATTTGTATAGTTTTTCGACAAAATTTAATTTCCTTATCAATATTGAATTTATTAAGTTTTATAAATCTTTATAAAATATAAATTTAGTTGAAATTTTACTATATATAACATCCTGGAAAACTTTTAAAAACGAAAAAGCCAATTCACAGCTTTTTTGGAATCTAATCAAATTTTTTCTTAAGACAAAAATGCCGAAGTATGGGTCAGATAGAATCGACTTGCGAAAAGTACTGCTATTCATTTTAATTACATAATACCTCAGCTGCCTGAAGCACATGCCGATTAAATTAAAACATAGGTAATTCTTCTGAAGATTGAAAAATGCTGAGTTGTTTGATACTGGAGACCTTAACAGAGAGTGTCTTAAGAGAAAGAATTTAAAAATCGTTGAACTGGATTCACGTCAAAACGCGTGATAAACTTGTAGAAACATTAAACGTAGACAGTACAACGATTTCGAAAATCAACTTGAGCTTTGTAGAATAAATCATGCTAAGTAACTGGAAAACTCACAAATTAGTTTTAGCGACGCGGTGTCACTGGTGATGAAAAAATCCCAGATTGTGCTTGTAAACATTTTAACCATCACGGAAATTAGTAAAATTCCGTTAAAATGCTTTCACTTAAACACGATCGTAAGCTTTTTAATAACTGCAAAAGTTTTGTTGACTGGTTTTTGTACGCGGACATAGAAAAACACAAAAATGAGAAGTATTTTTGTTGAAATATATTGAAAACTTTAAAGTTAGATAAAATTCATTTATTTCAAAAAATGATAAAAACAAAACCATTCGATAAAAGTTTTCCATATGATACTTAGTTTCATATGCGTCGTAAATTACTACGTGGAGAAAGTTAGAAAATAAAGTTGAAAGTGTAGAATCAGTAGTCAGAGCTGTAGGATGATTTCAATTTACGATGAAACTAAAAAAAACAATGATTGTGTGTGTGTGTGTGTACCTGTATGGGAAAAGAGTTAGTTACCAGTTTTATCTTTAATAAATGTGGGACTTGGAGATTCAACACAAGATGATCTATGAGTAGCCTACCTGAACTAATTCATAATAGTCACAGTGAACATATAAGACATCATAAAAATTAGGTCAAACGACATAAATCATTTGATAATTTCCGAATGAATGAACACTGAAACTTCAGACAGTCATATCCTACTAAACTGAGAAACATGAGATCAGTTACTTGTGATGAGAAAGTCAATCGTTAGACAAAACAGCATTAAATTTAACAGTAGAGTCCCTGATTCAATTTAAATAACAACCAACTGATGTATAACAATGTTTTAGGGACCGGCGTTAAACTATAACGCTGAGTGATAGAGACGTTGACGTTCAATAGTTAGAAATACTAAAAATGATAGATTCAAGTAAATTTCATTTGAACACGAAATATTTTTAAGAAAATTTATAAGATGATTAACAAAAACAAAACTAAAACAGTTTAAAGGATCTAAAATTGGAACATAAATGAACACAGATTGAAAATTAATTGAAGTATAAGAAAATTTTTACGAATGTGGAAACGAAGAAAGTTAGCGTAAATATGTATGACCGATCAAATAGGATGAAAAATCGTGGCTCGTAATACACGAGTAGCAAGCGAATGAAAAAGGAATTAACGTTAAGTAGGAGTGATCATTTAGGCTATTGGTTCAGTTTGGAGAACGACTAAAATTGAACTTTGACTAACGAAGGGTTTGTCAAAACATGCCCTCGTGAAATAATAAGCCACTTTTAAAGAAAAGAGTTGAAGATGGTAAAAATAACTGACTGAAAAAGGAATTCATTAAAAAACTATTTGATTCAAATTAAAGATACACATGGTTTAAATCTGTAAAACAAATAAAAGTTTCTAAAAAAAGCTTAGACACGTAAATAATTTCATCGCACACAGGAAATGAAGTGTTACTAAGAAAATAAATGAGTGAGTATATTTAGAGGTTCTCACTAAATTTAAAAAAAAAACATAAATTGTGACTGAAAGGTGAAGTGGAAATAAATATGAAATTGAAGCTATTTATCATTAAAAAAAAACAATTACCATCCGAAAAAACGAACAAAACCGAAAAAATACACCAAAACTAAAAATCCACTATCAGAAAAAGTGCATTAACACGAAAGTTAAAGTCTAATTAATTAAAAAAAAATTAACTGGCTGGAACAAACTGCTTTCATAAAAATATTTCACAATCTCTTCAACAGTAAAAACATAAATGAATTATGATGGGATTTTAACGAATCAAACATTTGTCAGCATTTTTTAAGATACTGTAAAATAACATTAGACATCAATGAGTTTAACTAATTATTTTCGACTAAAACTGTTGAATTACTAAAAAAATTAATAGATAATAATTGATGGACACCTTTACTGCATGAATCGCCAACAAATCTGAACCAAACATCGTTGCATAATCAAGTAATAAATTTAATAACACTTAAAAGCCACTTATATAAAAGTTTCATAATAAAAACAAAACACCAGGGAACTTATCTTCAAAACATAAAGCCTAAATTGTCTCTACCATCATGAAATAGCTTTGCCTGCAACATTTAATAACCCTCATTATCTTTGCTCTCAAAATAAAACCAGTCAAAATAAGCATCTTAACGCATCACAAAACTTATCAAAATTTAAATATAAACAGTTCGTTTGATAAATATACTTAATTCGTCTCATAAATAAACCACAAATCTTTACTATTGATTTTTGAAAAATATTTATAAATCTTAAAATATCTTTAAAATAATTATATACCATATAACATAATTATATTCATAATAATGTTCACTAATTAGTTCACTGACACAAAATACAAGCAATCAGCAGCCAAGCACGGACGAATTTATGGTCTAACCATGAATTTATTTCTAGTCATTAAAATTTGATAAAGGCGTAAACTTTATAAGGCTTAAAATTGATTTGAGTGACACACACACTATACATATATATATATATATATATATATATATATATATATATATATATATATATATATATATATATATATATATGTTGGTAATAGACCATAATTTTTACAATATTCTATAAATTCTACCGAATGTTTGGCGTTAATATGTTAGGTGAG